AAATTCAAACAAACAAATGTACTGCTCACGAGATTGTTTGTTCAATAATTATAAAAAATTGTTAAATTAATACATAACTAATATAATATTCAATAATACTTTCACATACCTAACTTGAGCTTATTAATCTATACCCATTAAATAGGGTAATAAATCCATAACGTGAATGACGATAGTCAATAGGCGCCGATATGGTGATCATACATTTCGGGTAAAACCATAAAGCCTATTTTCCAACCTATTATGATTTATAATCTTTGAAAATATATATAAATTGATTCATTCAGGGCGGAAATGTCTCAGTCCATGGGTGGACCGTCCAGTCTGCTGAAATCCACTGGTTGGGGGGAAAGCACGGAGGGAACATCTAAATATCACCCATAAATGTACCTTATGTTATTGGAGGATTTGACAATGGGTTTAATAAATTATATGAATGCCGAATGAAAAGTCCATTTTGAAAAAAGTTGGACAAAAATTCCGAAAATACAAAGTATTTTATTACATTTTCATTTATAATTATATAATTTATATAGGTATATCGTATATACTATACATTATATACATGATTAATATTCACTTAAAATATGTAGGTAATTAATTTGGTAATTTTAACTAGGTAGGTAAAGTTATGACCATTAGGTAAACAAATAGAAAAAAAATTAAGTAATAATGAATTGAGAATAAAATAATTTTTAAATGACATATTATGCTATTGTTTAATAAAACGCTATTCAATTATTATTATTATTGTTGAGTTATGATTACATAGTATTATGAGATCGGAAATTTGTATTGACTATTTTTTACAACGTACCTTATTTTACATGTTTATTATTATTTTTATTATCATTGTACTATTGTAGAGACAATGTTTGTATAGTAAACTGTAAGCAAGTGTAAGGAATAGTTATCAAATTTAAATATAATTTATTAATATGGTAAATACTTAATACTAAATAAAAATAGTTACAATAATGAGGTACATTTTTTAAATGATTATTAATTATATATGAAATATCCCACAAAATCATATAATATAATTATTATAATTTAAAATTGATTAGAATATTTTGTATTTTCGGACTTTTTGTCAGACAGTATAAAAATTAAACTGGACTCTTTAACCAAATTTTTTCAAAATGGACTTTTTTACTGATTACAAAATAATATAGTACTTTTTTTTACGGTTTAACCGATGACCCCAGAAGGTCAGAATTACTAGACGAGGTCAATATACTGTTTCAGGGAAAAACATATATGCGGGGCCAAAGGGGGGAGGGAGGAGGTCTGCTGAACACCCCTGAACATATAACAAACATTTTATTACTTTATATTGCTTTATATTCTATATTGCTATGATAATCAAATAACGCGCAAACAAAACACTCGGCACCATAGACCACGATCGCACAGTATTGTAAATGCTTATTATACAATTGTAGTATACAGTAGAACACTAGTACGGAGTGCCTAAGTGTATAAAAAGTTTATAGCTATAAGTACATTTAGGTACTAAATGATACTATAAATTGTACACGGTACAAAACCTTGAGTGAAAAAATATAAATTGCTTTTAGTGAGTAGGTACTTAGATATACGTCATAGTGTACGCACCTACTTATAAAAGCATTATAAAAGTACGTATGACCTACCCAATCAATAATATAAATTGAGATGACCAACAAAAAATGACCTAGTATATGGAAGCAACAAGCCAACAAACCACCAAACTAAACATCGTTTGAAGAACTACCAACAGGAGGATAAACAGGTCTCTAAGAAGAAAAAAATAATCGATACTGAACCGAATGCAAATTGGATCAACACGACTTACTGCACGGACACCTATAGTGACAAAAGAAGAAGTCCTCTCATGTGAATTCAATGGTGTTAAACTGACCGTGAAACATATAACAGAATGCCTCAAACAAGAGCAATATCTACAAAATATCAGAATAGATACGTTCTTGACACTGCACTGGGACCAGAAACCGAGAACAACACCAAAATGATAGTCTTCTTAAAAATAACAAACCTATACAAATTTAAAAAAAAAGATGTACAGCATATCACTAGCTTTTAGTTATACTTAGAATTAGCTTTATAAATAATGTCATTTTATCACCCTATGCGATTTACTTATAATATGTAGTCTATTATTCATAAAAGTATATTTGTAAGTTAATGTAAGCTTCTTAACTAAAAGTTGTAACTAACATAAATGCCAGTATTTTGTTGTTCGGTGATCAATAAAAAAAAAATTTATACATTTAACAAATCATAATCATTTGGAACTGTATCTTTGGGGGAATGAGGGTGTCATATCCCTTCACTGGCTTATTTTTGTCGCATAGAATGATAAAGCAACAAAAGTATATTTACCGCCATATGACGTCGTCTAAGAATAGTAAAAAACGCATATTCCTCCCTCTCAAATACTTGCTCATTTTTAATAACAAGTGTAATTTTATTTGTACTAAATTTGATCACGGACAAAAATGTATACATGGAACCTGCTTTAGTACCTAAAACTATAATGTTTTGACATTTACTGTTGTAACAATCAAAACAAACGTCATACTTATTTAAGTATTTTTTTTTTTATTTATCTTAAGCTTCGGCAACTGAGGTCATTAGCTGTAGTAGGATTTGTATTGTAGGTTTGTATTGTATATTTTGGGACGATAGGGGGGAACACGTGTGTGTTTGTTTTTGGCAGAATTTCGAATGGGGCACCCGTAGGTTTCTGCCATGCCCCGGGGGTGGGGGATGGCAGCACTTGTTCTCCGGTCACCGCGACTTGTCCGGAGAAAAATGCCGCCTGGTAGCTGAGGATCGAACCGCGACCGGCTGCGTCGCAGCGGACGCGTCAGACCACTCGGTCACCTCATCCCCCTATTTAAGTATTATTAAAACATTAAATAGGTGTTTACGTTCATTTTTAAATTATTTTATCAATTATTACTTATTAGTTATTATTAGTACCTCTATTCATCATAGTCCATAAAGGGCAATAATGTAATAATACTAATGAAAATTGAAATAACGAGAATAGACTATAAATAAGTATCTATCAATAAATTATAATTGAATATAAGTTTATACCTACCATTATTAGATATTAGAATAGTAATGGTATAATAAAAAAAATAAAAAAATAAAAAAATAAAACAGAATATTGATACGGTAATATATCAAGGAATAGGTACGGTAGGATTTGGTTGAAAAATTAATAATCTCTCCTACATTTAGAAATATCGATTACTTAGAATAGGTATACCTACTTTGTATTCTTCAACTTGCTGGCTATTTTAATTTTCAATAAGATATTATCAGGTTAATTATAAGATTCTATAAGATATGTATATACATGAAAATGCAAAAATCTAGTCACAGATTCACAATAAATAAGCTTCCCATTCTAATGCTCTAATTGAAAATCGCTCAATTATGACAATACCGTAGAAATAAGCGGTTTTGGTATTGTAAATTATTGAGATCAATTAAACTAACAAATAAACAAAAATAAAATACAAAATGGAAAAGTATTAACGGGAGTAACCGAATTGGTTACCGTTTGAAAAAGGTATTTTATTAAGTTGAGCCGAATTGATTCCCGTTTGTGTTCATGTGAAATAATTACAATTTTAATTTTTAAGCATTCATTTGCAACAGTAAATCATAATATATGTATGAAAAAAATATGAATTAAATAGTAAAAAATATGAATTAAATAGTATAAAATATAAATGTACCCACACTCCGTAAAATATACAATAATATGGCAATAAATTGTTATGTTTGCGTCATATTAAATTTCGAAGTAATAATGCAAGGAAACTTACTACAGCAAATAGGAAAGAAATAACCAATACTTGGAAAACTGAACAATTGATAATTTAATGAAGAAAATTAATTGAGAAACTTACACGAATCGAATACTCGAAGAAAGATTTCTTTAAATTTGAAAATTAACGATTTAAAATTGTACATATTTTATTTTATTATTTTTATTTTGTAAACTTATGTGATGACCGGTTGACTCCTAAATCAACGATTTAAAATGTAATTTTATATTTTATTTTATTTTTTAACACACATAACCGTAAGTATTATACCATTTTTAACTTTAAAGTTGACGGCCCTAAGCTTACAAAATTGAGAAGAAAAATATTAATATATGAAAAATATAATAATTAAATGGGAACCGATTCGGCATGTGGGGTTGAGCTTGGGACAATGCTTATATTGCTATTTATCTAATTAATTTTAATTTACGGTAGGTAGAATTCATTTTCTCCTAAAAAAATTCATTTAAAAATGTAATTGTGTGTACAAAATATAATAATATACCTACTTAAAAGTTTCAGTCCCGAACAATATTTTCAAATTGCAACAGAATAACTAAATCATGATTCTTTGTTTAATAGTTTATGATAGTTATAATAATTTTATGTGAATTAAAAAATATGTTATTTATTAAAATTACAAACATTCACTATTATCCTTTAGGTTTTATTATTGATTAACATATTGTATCAAATAATTTTTATGAATATAAAAGGGTGCAAGGCAGGTGCCCTGTAACATAAATAACAAGTTCTAACTATAGAATTTTATTTACGCGAGTTCATGTTAATTATTCGTATCCGTTTTAATATATTTAGGTAGTTATTTATGATAAAACACGTTTTCGTTACATAATTTAATGAAATTTAAACGATTTTGAATAGGTAGGTACATGTATAATGTGTACAGATAATATATAACCGATGTATTTTTTCATGGATAGTATTTTTTTTATTTAGAAAATATGCAAACTGTACAGACCTCGAGGCTCAATAAGCATAGGTACCATTACAAAAACAGTGAATAACGGGTTGAAATTCTAATTTGGACAAACTTAGGTATAAAAAATATGAGAAAAAAAGACCTTTTTATTATTTATTAGAAAAATAGTTATAATAGGACTTGGACTAATATTAAATTAAAATGTCAATATCTTGGGAATGTCCTAAATATTTTATTTATAGACATTCATAATTCAGTATTTTTATGCCTACATATACCGCTTCGGCTATATTGTAATAAATATTAACATTGATTATAAAATATAGCAATACTAAATACTAATTGATAACCATTTATAATAATCAATGATATTAACCACTGTCAGTTGTCACTACGACTGGAATACAATCATTTACTATATATATTTTTTTGAGAAAAAAAAATTGTAAAGTCAATTAAAAATACAATTTATTAATATTCAAACTAATTATTTTGCTGTCCATCAGCTACTGGAGTGACTGAAAGGTAAGTTAATACTCCTTTTCCTGGTATTGGTTTTATAGCCACATAAGCTCGTCCGTCAGGAGACCAGTGCTTCATATACACATTGATTGGCCCCATAGGCGGAAGAGATGTTACTTTTGATGCTACCAATTTTCCCTAAATAAAAAATATTTGAAATTGTGCTACCTATGTTATAACCTATATGTTATTCATTTTAGTTTAATAACTTAATCTATATTTTTTTCCACAATTATAAATTTAATCACCCCTATAATTTAATAGCAAAATATTATTATTAAATAGGTTTCGTCATTTTCAATTATATTTAATCTTACCATAGCTTCAGGGAAAGGCATTAAAGTTGATGGTGGACTGTTGGAAAATATTCCGTGTAGAACACCAGCTCTAAGCATTATACGTAAATATTGAGCATAATCATTGCGAATTTTAATATTTTCTAAAGAGTCATCCGACAACATTACCAGCTTATGGACCCATTCTGTACAACGGACTCTGTCTAAAATTTAAAATAATGGTAGTATAAATTTTAATGATTATTAATCAAAATGCTTTATTACTATGATTTATGGATGGAATAGAAGTAATAATCATAGAAGGACACACGAATGACTATAATTTTAAAATACATGATTGTTAAATTACCAAATTGATTTTCCAGCTTGAAAGAGTTGTTTGCTATGTCACGTAATGCGTATTTAAACTCTTCGTTATACTTAAGCGACATTATGCAATTAGTATTTGAAAGTCGAATGAATCTTTGCTAGCTATTTAAAAATATAAGTACTTAGATAATATATTTATGAAAGTAAATGGTGGTATATTGTTATTTATAAAAGAAAATGTTAATTAGTAATGTTAATAACTAATAAGCCAATATATTATTTTGTTATTTTAACTTCAAAAAAAAAAGGTTGTAGATGGCCAGACTAGTAAATAATTTATAATCCCTAACATAGAAGTTATGTAATATTGTCATCGCATAAAACATAAAAGTGTAAAAATATTTACTTTCCCACTATCTCTATTGATTTTATGTTTGTAAAATGATTTATACCAGTTTATACCATTCAAGTGCCCACACTCATTATTTTTTTTAAATTTTAACTTAATTGAAAATATTCTTTTTATATTTTGATGTAATTTCAAAACAAAATTTCTGAAAATACCAATATTTTTTACTATTTCTTATCGTTTTTGATGTTTTTATGTTTTTAAATTTTTTTTACTCTATATTCCATAGCAGAATATAATTCGAAGTATTTCAATCTACAAAAATCATATTTTGGAAGTATCAAGTATAGTATAGTATAGTTATACTTATAAGTTTTTAAAGTTTAGATGAGCGGAGTAATGGACAACATTTTAAGGGTTCCCCCGGAAGTCTTTACTACGCTCATCTTAACTTAAAATTTAAATGCTTATAACTAACAAACTACTTGTCCCAAATTCGATCCTTGTGAATCAAAATATTCCGAAAAATAATTTAAACAATTAAATATGTTGTATTGAAATTGCATCAAAGTATACAAAAAAAATAGTATGCGTATAGGATTAAAAATGGTACCTATATCTTGTTAAAATAACATCGTATATTCCAAATCACATACAATTAATATTGCTTAGTATAGTATGAGTAATACTCGTTTTACCATTAATTTATTACCTTAGAAACTACTGAAATAAAGTTAAAAGTTTAATTGCAACATAACGATCACATTTTTTTAAAATTGTATTTAAATTGTTAAAGAAATTATAGCCTCAGGCTATTCACTAATCACCATATTGTATGATATAATATACGTTGTATACATATATGTGGCTGCATGCCTAAATATTATTTATTTAAAATAGAAAAAAATGTTACAATCATCGTGATTACAGGATACTTTTCTGGGTCATGTAATATATTACAGGGTTAATGTACCTATATGTTAGTCATAAGCCCTTGAGACATCCTCCCTGTAATAGAAATATATTGACCTATTTTCGTGAAACCCTATTATATAGTATGGTTCCTATGAAACTTTTCGGACAACACCTATAAAAATATAATATTTATTGAGAGTATGCGTATAATTTTTTTACGAATGTAAAATATTAGTGAGTGTTTGGCAAGGTCGTGAGTTGCTATAGCTACAAGCGCAAGTACACTACAAATCAAAATAATTTCGGTATCTTTTTTCCAAATGTACAATATTGGTTACCTGCTACTTGTGCGTTAACTATATTTGATTGTTCCTACTATTAATACAAATGTGTGTTTAACGTCATGAGATAAGGCTCCTTTTATTAATCCTTTTTTTTTCAAGTAACATTAACAAATAATAATAAAAATAGTAATAATAATAATTTTAGTGTTAATATAAAAGTATTTTCTTAAAACACAATTTGTAGTTTATCGAGGTAGTATCGAAATGGAGGATGGCGGTTGGAAAAGAGGAGACATCACAAGCGACATGGTAAACAAACTGCATAAAAAAATATGGGATGTGCCCCGAGCACTCAGAGAAGCATAATTGTGAGTATTTAAATTCCTTTGTAATTAAAAAAGTGTTAAGTACCTATACTATAGGCACTAATACTACAGTTACCTACAATAATTATAATTTATCTGAAATTATATTATGTAATCTTTGTTGAAAATAGTTTAAAATTATCTACACTCAGTTAAATAGTTAAATTTGTTATAATATTTTTTTTTATATGCAACTATAACTTAGTCTAATTCATTAAAACAACACGTTTCAGAATCTTACCAACAATATGTATAAGCTATTAAGTAATTGTACCATACAAGTTAAACATGGTTATCATTTATCAGTATCATGTGGTATTTGTTGTTATTATTGAGAACCATAATTTTAAACAAGTACAGATTTTTATCATTAGTATGATACTGTGTAGTGTGTACCTACTGTAGTCATAAATTATAATAAGAGTATGAACAATTGCATTAATATTTACTATATATACATATCCAATACAATGTACGCAATCCCAGTATTTTTATCTTCGGAATTACTTAATTTTTCTAACTCATTTTATTAATCTGATATTAGTAATTTTTTTCTTTGTTGTATACTTGCAAATTTTATTTATTACATTTTTTTACGGTGGGTTAGGCAATAGCGTATTTCCTAATTATTTCTGGAGGTGTCGGGGTCGGTCCAAAAAAAATACTCAAATTAAAAAGATTCCTATTAGATAGACACATTCCATAAAATTAAATCTATTTAAATTGTAGAACATATTTTGTTCACAGTAGTATAACAATTAATCATTATACGAATCAATTTTTGATTTTGAAAAAAAATTAATATTTTCATATTACCTTAAATATTAATAATAGGTAATTATTCAGTAACAACAATATATATTTTTGTACAAATTAAATTTTTTATTATGGTAACGATAACCTACCGTTTTAATTTTTTTTCTGTGGCATAAATGCATAATGAATTGTCTTTATGACATATATTATACAAACACATATTATTATACTAGATAATAGTTTTTTTTTTGCAAGTATTGTTTGAAATCCAGATAAGTTTATAGATCTCTAAAAGTGAAGTGGCAGGGGATATTTTGTGAAATTGTATTGCATTAAACTCCCGTTTGTTGAGAATATGCAACTAAAAATATGAACCATCATATTTTAAAGAAATTAATTTTTTGCAAAAATGTAGAGTTTTATAAACATTGAGAGTTATTAAAAAAAAATCTAAAACTACAATTGACAGAGATAATGGATGTACTTATTTCAACAATTAGATAACTTATTTACAGACCTGATTTTTATTTAAATTGCAAATGTTAAATAATTATTAATTTTAACCAATTATTCACAGAATTATGTAGTAAATTTCATCGTTGTGTGATTTATCATAATAGTTTTATTTAAAGGAAGGTTTTTTATCAAAAAACAGTCATTCTCTTGGTAAACCTATCTATATGTATTTGTAAACATTTTTTACTGCATAAAATACTTCATATTTAGTATAGATTTATTTTAAATTAAAATCAATATTTTCAAGTACAAACACAAATTTTCAGCAGAGACAGTATTAAAATAATCATACTATTAATGGAAAAATAAGTTTGAACTGTTTGTAAATATACATCGCATGTTGTTAAAAATGTACCTATAATATTTGGTTTATAAAATATAGGATTTACCTCAATAAATATTTCGCGTTTATAAAAAATAAGTCACTAATAATATGTCATCATTATGATAACAATAATTGTATAGACCATGCACCTTGTTTCAATATCTTTAGCCTCATTATAATTTATTGTTTTGGAATAAATGGTGTTAATTATACGGTGCGTCTGTGCGTCCAATTTTTCGTTTGTATTTTAATTTTAATAAAATTATAATTGACTATATATAATATAATATAATATAATATAAATATTTAATTATTCACATTTTAATATAATTAAATGTAAATATATAAGTAATTATTTTAATAAATAACTGTTAACGAGTTGACAATATGGTCGAACAATGATGTAACCCACTCTTGTTTTTATAATATCGGTTGTCGACTGACTTATTACAACTATACAATATAAAAGTCGCAACATAAAACCCCGTCGAAACAGGTAAGCAATTGCGGATAACTGATAAGACATGCCTACGTGACTACTGAGTACCTGAAGTGACGTCGTAAACATAAACTTAAATTATTAATCCTTCATTAGCATAATACTGTATGTGTATAAGAAAAAATATTTTGAAAATGTGAATGTATTATTATTTTCTAAATACTGTATGGTCATTCAAAAAAAACTTTTCTATTCAAAATGTACAAATTTGACAATTATCAAGAATATTAACACACACAAAATATATTATTTATGATGTGTATTTAAATACATGGAGAGAGATAATAGACCATCTACCCCTTCCTTGTACAGAAGGCACGGCATTTACATTCTCTAGTACACAACAGTCTGCTGCACCTTAGCTGCAGAGTACTAGAAAAACATTTTTAATTTTTATTGCTTTGAGAAACTCGGAATTCAACGATTATCCAGGAATTTAATTTTAGGGTTATTCTATGCAGTTATAATAAGATTTTAGTTAAAGATTATTATATCAAGTTAGGTACTTAGCTCTGTTCAAAATGATTTATTATTTCTTTCAAGATTAATGTATCTACCTCAGCTGCAGCAGCTGTATAATACTACTTAACTTTTATGAGTCAATGTTTTACAAATTATGTATTTTATTACTAAATAAATAGAAACGTATAAACGGTCAAAAATTAGTTTAAAACAATTGACTGTGGGATTGGTAGAAAAAAATATATATTTAGAAGTTTTTGATGCAAAAAAATGTATATTTTATGATGTTTAGATGTTCCCTAGCAACCACGCAGAAGTTTACTTAAACACATGCGTTTATAACGAACAGGTCGACGCACTCATCCAGAAAAGGTTTTTTTTTATATACAAACTGTCAAGGGAAAATCAATCAAAAGCACGAAAATTAATAAATAAAAAGAGTATTTTATAATTAAATGATTGGTAGAACGAAGGACACAATATGATTCATATAGATAATTTTTTGGAAATAAATACAATTTACATTATATTATATACCCTATAATATTATACATGTGTAGGAAATTATTTATCAGATTAACAGCAAAGTCAACATCAATAATAATATTATAGTAGGTACCTACCTATATATGTAATATTTTGTTTTGCAATACAAATCTTTAACCTTTGTTGTACACTTGTACCTACTTGTCTAAATGATAAATAGAAAGTCGAAACTATATGATAAAGTCTGACTGTAGTTAGTAATT